CTTTTTTTGTGGCACGGAAGCAATGGTTCAGCCGCTCGACTTACACATTCACCTGTAACAAATCGGATTTACGATGCAATAATATCTGCTATTGTAACAGATTTGTCAACAGACAAACTCAAGGTAACATGAGTCAAACTTCCAAACATGCTATTTTTGAATAATACCAAATCTTTTAATAGTTGCGACAAGAGAATAGAATTATATTATTTTTATTTCTTTCACGTTGCTACACATGGCAGACCGACAATTCATTCATTGTGATGTGAGGATTAAACCATTTTTGTTTCGTTCGAACTTGCAACCAAGAAACATCATTTATTATTTGCTATTGTTTACATAAGTGAAAGAAAAAACTTGACGATGCTTTGATGAGAACACTATGATGGGCGATCGGGAATGTCTCTATTCTTCGTATCATGAATGAAACTTTCTGACTAAATAGGAGATTTATTCTCATTGGTTTGCATAGAAAATTTTAAAGATTTTTAGTTATTCTGGGATTATAATTCTATTCAGTCTACTCGCTACCTCTGGAAAATCAGTAAATAATTCATTGAAAATGAATAGAATAAAGAAATTGTCGCCTCCAGTAAGAAATTCTATTGAATTGCAAGAATCTTTGACACATGTATCAATAATGAGTTTAACGAGCCGTAGCAGATTCGAACGTATAAGTAGATGCGTTACCAGTAAATGATGCCTTTACGTGTGAATGACAATAGTCGACATTAGATTGACTGATATAAAGGAGTAAAAAGATAAAAATAACAAGTTTGTAACTATCGAACAAAAGATCAAGTTCGTTTTTCATCTGTATTAAAATTATCAATAAAATGGCGATGAAAAGAACTAGGAAAGATAAATGTGTTGCTTTCTATTACATTCACATCTATATCCACAAACTAAACTGCTACAGAAGGAAAAGCTTTTTAAAGTGATCCTTCAACTGTTTTTATTTGATAAAAATTTGAACAGTGATTACAACTCTTCGACCTAAAAGTTGAAGAAGACATTAGCAGAAACATATGGCACGCTTAATGGAAGTTGGTTGCGTTCACTTTCTGTACTACAATAGTGTATGGATCGATTACGATCACATGAAAAAATTCTTCATAAGTGAATGAAATTATTAGTGACTCTTTGGTTTTTCATTGGGGCCACGTTTGATTATTTTTTACTATAACTATATTACGAAATGCATGTTTGAAGTCACAATAAATAAACGTTGTAGGCATTGGCTGCTTCACATTCTTCTCATTAGTTTAATTTCAGTTATTGGCGATAGAATATCAGGTACTTTCAAATACGAAGCATCACAGTCATCAAGCGATTTACATTCTATAATAATGTTTATTTCTTTTGGAACACGAGAATCTTCTTTCCTATTGTATTCGATCGATGATAACAGTTGAAATCATTCCGGAAAATTCGGTTCACGCACAGCTGAATTATGAAGTGTACTGCTATGATTTCAATAAATAGTAAGTAATTCTTTTCTATAATCGATTGAAAGATTTTATTACTGTTTTTATTTGAGTTCGAACGAAGGTCTCCATTGTGATTAGATCATTAATGCGCTGTTTTATTATTCAATGTCTTAAATGGCACTTGATAGAAGCAATCAATTGACGCAAAGCAATTCATTTTTCTTTCTATTGTTGTTTTTGCAAAAGCGTTCCACTAAGTTCCAATAATGATCAGTGCAAACAAAATAGCCGAGAGAAACATTGAAAGGAATAGAATCGATTAGTAGAATACACTTGTTATCGCGTCTTATATGTGAAAGAATGATTTTGTCGCTCAAATCTAATCTTATCTTTTTAACTAAATGAAATTAGTCGAATCTTAACTGGTATCGACTAGGAATGATCCTTCATTAAGTGAGAAAGAGAACAAACTCTTGAGCTGTTTGAGACTTTGAATCGAATTTCGAATGATAGCGATTGGCGACACATATAACTCATTATCTTGAAATATCCACTCATCTTCTATATACAAGTCACTCTTCCGGAAGGGTGTGGCGTGTGGGTGTGGATGTGAAGTGTGAATAGAAGTGTCAAGGAAACATCTACCACATACCAACATCCACACCTATTTTTCTCAGCCAGGCTATGAATAACTGTAGCAACTGACTGGTTTGAATAGCTTACCGCCACCCTCGGTTATGGTGTTTATTAGCTACTTCACATGCAACACACGCTTATTTAGGAGAGATAGGAAAGAGAGATGAACACGGAAAAGAACAGTAGAGAAAGGACAAAGAAACAAGAGGAGAGAAATGTCAACGGGAGATAATAGCATTATCAGCACAATAACGTTATTCTTAATCTTCACAAAAAATATTTTAATAAGAAAAAGAGGTCAAATATCCAAGTATAATTAACTCAACGAATGAAAACGCATGAAAAGATAAAATTCGATATTAAGGATGTAAATGTGGACCCAGACTCGAGTCTTTGTCATTTTGTTTTAATTAAACATTCCGCAACAGTAAGGGAAGAATGAATATGAAGTATAGATCACATTGTTCATTTCTTCTAATGCCGTTGAATAAGAGAAAAATGAGAAATTATAAGCAGGAATGAAGGAAACATAATTGGTTCTTTGCACCGATGAATATAAGAAAAAACAAAGCTTCCTTTATATTGTTGATACATTTTTACGGATGTTAACAGATAAATGAAATATGATTGAAATAGAGAGTATCTGAAATCCGGAAGATCTGGCAACACTGATCCAGACTCACTGCATTCACACTCAACCCAGTTGTTTTCTAGTACAATTCTAATTTCGGTCGGACACTACTAGAATTCCAATTTTGTCCAGTCAAATTTAGAATTTGATCAAAGTCTTATTTTGTCCGTAATCTTCATTTGCAATAGTTGTATCAACTAATTTAATAAATATACTTCATAAAACTATTCAGTCTAAAGCGACACTTAGTGTGTATAGATTTTCTCTAACTGCTTAAGAGCTTTTAAGCTAATAGTTTTTTCATTAGTAGAACTCAATGAGACTAAGACAATCTCAAAAACGTTTGTACTTATGATCAAGAAATCACAAGTAACAACCGTTTCATTTTCAAGATAGTGGATTTTTAGAGCAACTCCATTATTGCACACCTGTCTGTTTCAAGTGAGTATTTTTCAAAATTTGAATATCTCGAGTATAAAGCATTATTTTGGTTGAAAAATTTGGTACACTGTAGAAATCACGAGACATATAACTTTCGATCGACGGATTGTGATAAGGTTTTGTTAGTCTTATTCTATCCTACTGATGGTTGGAATACTAAATCAAAAGTCCATAAACACTTGAAAGACATCCCTTGTACGATTGGTTCTATCAGATAATACGAACATCATGATTATCCATTATCTACAACATTGGCTATTTTGATAATAATGTAATGCATACATTCATGGTTTTTTCGTGCAGATACACAAAATACTTTTGACATACATGAAATAACCGATGAACGAATATATGTTGATGAATTGAATCACCTTTTTATATTCGAAAAGAAAGCACTTTTTTTCATGTAAACGTAGTATTATTTATATGTTTTAAACTATGAAACTACTTGATGATAATCACTGGTGATTAATAAATCATTGTTGTGTCAACTGATAACAAAGCGATGAGAAACACATATTGTATTCATAATTACATATTAGAACTATTGGCAATCTAGCAATTTCTCTTCAATTCAACTGAATAATTTTATAATCATTTATAGATGTCTATTGAATATACACTTTCCATACCAAATGTAAATAAAAAAACGAACTTGTTTTCATTATATGAAAGCTAATTAGAAACACTCCCTGCTGTTGAAAGTGTCAATGCAGCGCTTTTTTTTCGCGACTCAACCACATTGTACCCTCTGTCTCCAGTGCTAAGTTATGTCTCTGAAACTTATATTGTAAAATGATACCCGTTTACGATTAAAACTGATTTCAGTCAAAAGAGAATAGGCATCAATGGAATAAAAGGACTGATACTATTTTACTATGTTCGAATCTAAACCGCGCCTCACCATTCCATATTTGGGCCAAAGTTAATCGACGTCCATCAAATACTTTTACAGTCACAATATAGTTTTTAAACTAGCATGTTATATGAAAACGTAGACTATTGAGTTTCTTCCATAAACAGCAACAAAAAACCAAATATACGTTTCATTGTTGTTGACGAAGCTGAAATAGACTGCAGTGTGGATGTCAAACGTCATAATTGGAAATACGTACATGAATGCTTTTTCCATCAGGACAACATATGTTCATGTTTTTGATAATTCATTTTCCTCTTCATGTAGTTCATCATTATTTGTAGAAAAATTTTCATCAAAAACAAATTCTTATAGTAGATCAATATCGCTTTCGAATTCTGTGATCTGTTATCAAATACAATATTTCCTCAATCATGATCGAACTAGTTTTATTATCTATTTTTATATTAATAACAGTTTGAAAAAGGAAAAAATATTTTGAAACGTAGAGATAATTGCTGGATCGGCTCCGGATATGATCTCATAGTCGGACTTGTGCGACATTTATACTTAGAATTTGGTTTACAACGAATCGAGTAAGAACACACAGTTGTTTTTTTTTCGTCTAATATTAAAATTCTTTTAGTATAAAAATAAAGCAAAGACCTTAATTACTTATGATAATCAACTTGAATTTTATGTTTAACACTTTATTTTGCTTTTGAAAGTCTATCTTCATCATTCTATGAACTATTAAAATTTATATGAAATGAAAAGAAAAATAGAATTTTTTAATTGACATCATTCAATTAAATTCTATCATGCCTTTGTTTCGCTTTTTTTGTTAGTTTTATTTTTCTTGTTTTCTTCTTTTTTTAAATCAACTGCCAAATGCTGACAATAAAATGTAAACAAGAATAAACGATTAACAATAATGATGTTGAAAACAAAAACATAAAATTACTGATCTTATTCACTATTGTTCATATGTATTTTTTTTGATCGTTTATTCATTATCGCCACCTTGTATCGCTTTAAGAAAAGCTGTTTTACGTTGTTGAACACGATTCTTGCGTGATGATCGAGCAAGTTTAACTTTATTCCAACTAAAATATTGATTATAGATAAAGATTCAAAGAAAATTTTTCTAATTAATTTAATTACCGTTTTGGTTTAGGTGCATCAGCTTTCTTTTGTTTCTTAGGTGATGGTGATGGATCAGCACGAATAGCAGCATGTGCAGCTTTATATAAAGCTTCAAACTAAAGAACAATAGAAAAAATTTAAAGATTTGTATTTTTTTACGACGCATTAAAAGAAATCTTACCGAACTTGGTTCAATTCCAGCTTTAACAAAACGTGAAAATTGTTTAGCATAAAGATCTGGATTTTCGTCTTTAAGTGATGTCATATAATTTGCAACATGTAAGCCAAAAATATGTTGACGATGAACATCAGCATCGAATTTTTTACCTTCTCGACTGTAGCCTGGAAATCGTCGAGTACTAGAAAAGAAAATCGACAAAGATTAGTTTACTCATTTTTTTTCGTTTAAATAAATATTAATATGTGCATCAGCAAGAAATAATCGTCATATCAAAATCAGAAGAGATGACAGAAAAAAAGTATATTCATCATATGCACTTGATAGAAATAGACAAGAAAAAAAAACACAATGTGCAAAATCAGCAAGGGGCGAAAAGTGTCCATTAAAGTGGAACTCTACATTATTGATGTTCCGATGAACTTATATCTCATCAGTTTTTGCACAATTAATATACCTTATAGACATTTAGCTCATGTTTGACATTCGAAATTTTTCTATCCGACAATGTTGTATACCGCGTGAAGGTGACGCCTCTTCGAATATTAGATTGACTGTTTCGATGTTTGTTGTTCTTCTTCCATGTACTAAGTACTCTCAAAAATAGATATTGGCTCTCTTGGAGTTTTAAATCATTCTTTCGAAAGAGAAAAATATTGCAATCCGGACTATCGCATCAGCTTTTGTATTTTTAGTTATATTTTCATCGAGAACTATTATTGGAATTTAAAAAGAGGCCATCAGGCAAAATGCTTATAACTTTTGAACGAAGATAGCTAGAGCCCTGCGGTTTTCACCATTCGAAAGAAAAGACAAGGGGACGCCTTTTTCTCCAATATTGTATAGGACAAAATCATTTAAAAATCAGTCATTTCTACAAAATATCGACAAAATGTATAAAAAACGGTCTGCCATTCAGTTGAAATTTAGACGAAAAGTAAGAAAATATGTTAAAAATTACAAGAACTCTATAGTTTTCGTGCAATTGAATAGACAAGTTTATTTGTTCAACATTAGGAGATGGAAAGATAATCATTCGAATTATATCTTGAACAATACATCTGAAGTTCCTCTATCTAGATCAGATGTCAGAACCAAAATTTCATCGAAATGACAGATCATTTTCATGCATTTTTTCGATGTTTTGTAGAAATGACTGATTTTTAAATGATTTCGTACTATGCAATATTGGAGAACAAGGCGTCCCCTTGTCTTCCCTTTCGAATGGTGAAAATCACAGGGCTCTGGCTATCTTCGTTCAAAAGTTATAAGCATTTTGCCCGATGGCCTTTTTTTAAAATTCCGATAATAGTACTTTTTTTTGTTGAAAAAGTTTTATAATTAAGTGCAAAATCAGCAAGGGGCGAAAAGTGTCCATTAAAGTGGAACTCTA